GAAACAGACGGCCGCCCCCACCCCGGCAAGAACTGGGACCGCACCTTCACCAACCCGCGCTGCCCCATCGCCCCCAAGCTGGGCGCGGGCCTGGCGGTGTTCCAGGGCCTGCAGGACAAGTACGACCCGGCGCGTGTGTTTGAGCCCGAGCTGTGGACGCGCGCCATCAAGGGCGAGAAGTACTTCCTCAAGCCCAAGTGCGTGCTGAACCGCAGCTGCTACTGCGAGGCGGACGAGCACTGCGCGGACGGCTTCAAGTGCGTCCCCAGCGTGGCGTTCCCCGAGTACAAGGCGTGCCGCCCCAAGGCCATGAACAAGAAGATGTGAGCGGCGCGGCGAGGGGCCTGTGCCCGGTGCAAGCCTCTGCCTCGGGCGGCCGAGGGCCTTTCAGCACAAAGCTCGGCGGTGGGAGCGGAGATCGCGCGCGCCGTCAAGCGTCCCTCGCTGTGCGGGCCGCTGCTCACTGCAAGCGCACGCTGCTGCCGCCGCCGCGGGCCACCCGCTGGGCTCTTTCGTTCTTCTTCCGATCTATTCTTTCCAACAGGATCTTTTCTTTGCAAATCAGCTGGGCCTCCGGGCCTGTGCAGGAGCCCATACGCCTCCCCCCCCCTTGCCGTGCCTGATGGCATTTGGTTTTTGCTCGGATATCGACGCAGGAGGCCCGCGGGAGGGGTGACGTGACCGCAGTAGTCTTTAGCGCCGGCTCAAGCGCCACAAAACTTGTGCATTTCAACGCTCTGCCGCTTGGAATGGCACCCCGGCTTCTGCTGGCAGATGGCACGATCGCTGCCCATCACAACTCTGCCACGCGCCTGGGCGGCCTCCCTTGTGCATTTGCAGCGGGGGAATTCTAAAATTTGTCCCGACAGCAGGTCCGGCCGCGCTGCGCGGCGGCACCAGCAACCCATAACACAACCACCGTTGCCGGCTCGCGCGCACCGGCGCGCCTGCCGTCCCTCTCAGCCACGGCCGCATCTGTGTGCGCCAGGCCGCGCCTTCCGGGCATCATCAAGCCCCTCATATGAGTAAACATTGCCCATGACAGGACCTACTGTGCAGAGCCGCAACCCTCCAGAATGCATACGTATCTGGTGTTCCTAGATCAGCACAAGGTCGCTGACGCACATGCTGCTGCGCCTGGAGATGGCTGCGCCACGAAAGGGGGCAACGGCTGGGTCACTGCCAGAGGCGGAGTCGGCGGACTAATCACGCGCATATGGGTGTGTGTGTGTGTGTGTGTGCGCGTGTGCGCGTGTGCGTGCGCCCCCCGAAACCCTGAACCCCACAACCGGCGTGCCGGCCCTGCTGCCATTTGACACCCATATTGTGATGTATGTTCACCCACGCCTAGGCGTCAAGGGTCCGCAGCTGCTGGCTTAGCATGGTGAGGAGCGAGGCAGGGTGGACTTCGCTGCCAGGTTACAGGTATGACCGCCCCGGCGGACTTGGCGTGACCGGGCGGTGGCTATGTGCATGGGCCTTTTACATGTACTGCATCAAGGTGTACGAGTCCGCTCAGTTGCAGGGCAGAAGCTCTGATCCGCATGGGCTGACAATTGCAAAACGACCACCCCAGGCCCTGGGAGGGGGCCCTTAAGCTTCAGTACAAACGAGGCGCGCCGAGCTCAGGCGACGACAGCTGCCCGACAGTAAGCCTGAGAAGAAGTGCATTGGGGAACTGCATGCGAAAGCAGCCAAGAAAAGTGTTTTCTCCCCCTTTTTTATGGCGTATGGAAACAATAAGCAAGCAAGCATGATCACTTTGCGTGGGTCCGAAGCAGGGTTTGAGGCCAAAAGGTGGCAAGACATGTGGTGGCGCATCATTACTGACGCGCCACTCCTCGAGGACGGCAGCCGCAAGTTCTTAGCCTGGACACAGCAGGGGCAACAGGGCTATCACGTGCTGTCAAATGCATCACGCTTGGTTGCTTGTGGCGTTCAATGTGGGTCCATGCAGGCGCTGCAAGCAGTGGGGAATTCGCAACCAAGTGCTGCAAACAAATGTCAGGTTGTCATGCGTGAGCAAAGCGACGTTTCGCTACGAGCGTGTCGTCAACGTGGAGGATTGTCCACGTGCAAGTGATCAACAAGGGAGATCCAGCCAGGCCGACCAGCGGTCGCGCAATGTACGCCCACGTGCGCAGGGCAAATGCTCATCATCAATAAGGGAACCAGTACTGGAGGTGTTTGGGTGCGTCAAGCAGTAGTCGGTGGCTTGGGCGGTTCAGGCTGCATCTGTTCGCGCGGGTCATGCACTGGGATTTCAGTAGGCAATGCACAGGACGGGTTGGGCGATGAAGCAAGGGATTGATGAGAACGACAGCCACGTTGCATCGGTTTTGGCCAACCCTCCGGTAAAGCCCGAGTCGGAGGCGGAGGTCCACCCAAGGCATGTGGCGGGGGCGGCGACTCTGCCATTGCTGAGGCTGCCCGACCACCAGAAGGTTCCTAGCGTCACGCCCGCACTGCCCAGGCTCGTCAGGATGCTGCCCCCCAGCAGGCCCGTAAAATTCCTTGCGATGACGGTGCCGCGCAAAGACTCGATTGGCAGGCCGCCGGGGACGCCGTACTTTGTGGAAAAGTCGGCGATCTGGTCGGACGCCGATACAGACAGGAATGCATGCACCCGTGCCAGCCCGGCCGGCCGGTTGATGGAGGCGCTGCACAGGGCGTCGGCGCCAGACCGGCCACCAAGGTTCCCGTCCCTGTCGCTTGAAGATTCGCTGTAGATCACGACCCGCGCGCGCAGGTATTCCGCCGCAGGCACGCCCCCCAGGCTGACCGCATTGATGTTGGCCAGGTCGGCGATTCTCGCGTAGACACTGAGGTCGATGGCCGACACATTAGCCACACTGGCCGCCAGCGCGGCAACGCTGGTGTTGGCCGACGCGATGGCTGCTGCGCCCGTAGTGACGGTGGTCTTCAGGGACTCGACGGTGGCATTGACCAGGGAGACCGCCACTGCGTCCGCCGCCTGGGCTGACGTGATGGCGGCCAGGGTGGTGTTGACGGCCGCCGCGTCCGCCGCCTGGGCTGACTTGATGGCGGCCAGGGTGGTGTTGACGGCCGATAGCTCCGCGCTGCAGGCGCACTGCTGCGGAGCAGACTTGAGCGCCGCGATGTCTGCGGCCATGGCTTGGTTTGCCGCCTGCATCAGGGCCAGCTGCTGGGCAGTGCGCGTGCTGGCCGCTGTGAGGGCGGCGAGCTCCTGAGCAAACAAGCCCGGGTTGGAAGCGTTTGCCGCGCTGGCTTGCAGCTTCTGCACGTTGGCGGTGATTGTTGTGGTCGTTGCGGTGAGCTCATCCACACGGGCGCGCAGCACCGCTGCCTGGGTGCTTCCCTGGGTGAAGGTGGCCTGCAGGGAGCTGGCCTGGGCGACAGCAGCAGTAACCTGGGGCTCGAGGGCTGCCAGGTCAAAGATCACTCTGTTGACCTGTGCGGTGGTAGCCACGCCGCAGCCATAGTGCAGCTTCTTGGGGTCCTGAGAGGTGTGGAAGTATGCCGATCGATTGAAGGACGGGAAACCAGTTGCAGTGCGGGCGGGATGATGACACCTTGCTTGCGACACATTGATAGCTCAGTGGAGCGTAATCCTGAAAGAGCCGCAGGTCCGTCCCTCACCCACAAACGACCAAGCAACTCGTGACCGTGTCGCTGCGTCTACTTGCTGCCATATCAGCACTCACTAGACATTAATCTGCCCAAGTACACGCGATTGCATTCGCATGTGGTGGCTGTTGTGCGTGTGTGCACGCACCTTGCTGTCAGTCGTCGCGTTGGCGGGTGCCAGCAGCTCTCTGCACAGCTGGTCCATGAGGGCGGTCGGGCCGGCCTTGGAAGCGCATGACCTGGAGAGGGTCCTGACAGGCGCACACTGCACGAGGTTGTGCGACAAAGACAGGATTAAGTCGTGCCTGCACAGCAGGACGCTGGGCTCCGGCAAGCCAGGCGAATGGCGGGCACAAATCAGGGGCCGTTTGGGTTGCAATCGCCTTCCAAGGCAAAGGCCCACATGGAAGCAACCAGCTGCTGCGCGCGTGCAGTCGCGCGTCAAGGCCGCGTGCGGCATGCAGGCGCAACTCACCACCGCCAGCTTCTGCTTCTTGGGCTTCGCTTGAGGGCTGCGGGTGGTGCCACGCGGGGTGGAGCAGAGCGAGGGCGGCGGTGGGGGTCGGCATGAATCAAGATGCATGAACCATGCAGACCGCTCGACTGGAGGCATGCAGGCCCATGCATTGCAAGTCGACAACGCAGGCAGGGTTGGCAGCTATCAGAAGTTCTCAGTTGGGTGTCACCGATTGTTAGGCTGAGGCTTCCATGAGCCAGGGGTGGGGCCTACGGGTGCACGGCCTTATTACCCTCCAAATACCACTTGAGCGCCATTTGTGTCCAGACGCTGGTATCCCACAGCTGCTGTCAGGAGTGACCACCCTGCACATCCCGGCCCGGGCCACGCACGCCTGTGTGCCTACCTGGCGCAAATGACCCCGCCCAGCACGCTGAGCAGCAGCAACACTACCATTGGAGACATTGTTGAGCTCCGTATCCACCTCATGCTGGGTCTGACGACGTGGAGGGGGGCGTTGAGTTGATGAGACGACTTACAAAACCCAGGCTCGCACGGTGCTGGCAGCACCGTCCCACAGGGCGTTCGAAATGGCGAGTGCCAAAAAGCAGCAGAGTGTGGAAAGCGAGCTACCCTGCCCGTACCCGTGCCACCAAGACTCGTTTCACAATCTCTTGAGCGTGACCGCAAGTCAATCGATCAGAGCAGCAGAAGGGGGTTGAGTTGCAGTGAAAGCAACAAAAATAGGGTTAAGCTACACAGAAATTATGGTGATGGTCAGGTACGGTAGAAAGGGCAACGATGCCAACGGTGCCGGTCGGTCGGTGAAGGGACTGGCGGGGTCCGGAAGGCTCATATGAGTCAAGTGGGACCATATAGCTAAGCCAAAAATCATTGTTTATAAGTCCTGGTTGACCAGAGCGTGGTCCTTCAAGGGTCATGCCATGTGAGTGATCATGGCTTTGCTGATTTACTCATATCATCATCACCCTGCCACCTTGGGCGGCACAGCTCCTTTTGAGCACACGCGTGAATCTATTACTTGGGTGATGTGGGACACAAGTCCTGCTGGAACGGGTGCGGGCGGGGATACCCCACTCTCACTATGCGGCTTGCTGCACACTTGCCACTTCACGCCCCCCCTGTGAGACGGTGACGCCCGATCACGACTCCAAGCTAGTTGAGGTACGCTTCTATGTTGCAGTATTTCACTTGCAATCAGGTGCTTTGACGCAGGCAAAAATCTGTCGTAGCATGCATGCAGTTACGCGGGCGATTACCGCGGGGCGCCTGGAGTGGTCATCACCATCAGGCATAGACACCACACTCACAGGGCAGATGTGGCAAGTAGCAGTATGCTCAATTGGGGCATCCCTGCCCGTACCCGACGCCACCGGTACCCTTCGATACATCCAATCACCTGCGCGGTAGGCAGCAGGTCGGCCAGTGCAGCAGGAATGTCCTGAGCCGCAAATACCAAGGCAGCCGTGAAGCTACGTGCAGCAGGTGTGCAAAAGGCACCGAAGTCGCAAGCATGCAGTAAGCAGCATGCCGCTACCCTGTGGTGACTTGAGGAGCCCACCAACGTAGACACCCTCACGCCAAATGTGGCATGCAGAGGTGTGCACGAAGCAAGTGCTGCGTGATACGAATCCCGGCGAAACGGATACAGCAGTACAGGCGGCAAAACCCCACTCGCTTGGGGCACTTGGCTGCTTGCGGCACACTAGCCATTTCTCTGATACTGCACGGTGATGGCCGACTGCGACTCCAACATAGTCGAGGAATACCTGCCACCTACTGCGCAGGTGATTCAGTATATCGAGGGGGACTGGTGGAGAGGGTACCGGCGGGGACACCCCATCGCTTTGAGAACGCTGCTGCTGCCCACATCTGCTGTGCGCCGTGTCTATGGTGGTGACCACTAGTCACCCCGCAGTAACCAACCCTCGTCACTGCACGCATGCGACGACGGAGTCAATCTGTACCTCCATTTCATCACCGCAATGCAGCCATTCCAACTGAGCAGTACTAGCCAAGCACAACGCGTGCGGACACAGCTGGTGAGGTTGACAGCGCCTCCCCTGGTGTGCTTGCTTGGCTTTGCAATTGTGGGACGCGTGCACCTTTCGCAGAGCGGGCGTCCCCACACGTGGGAGCACAGCCAACACTATTGCTTTGCGCACAGGGTGCGCGGGCGTGGAACTGCTGGTGCCGCGGGAGCCGAGCAATGGCAGGTGACAGCAAGGGGCTGGGTGCACCTTGACAGCGGCACATACGCAATCAGGAACGACTCGGTGTGCTGGCGTGAGCGCATGCCTGGGCTTCGGCGATGCGCACATGCGGTTTGGTGGACGTAGGGGCTTTCTGTGTTTGTGTGTTTGCCATTCTTCACGCCTCTTGTTGCAAGCTGATACACAGCCATCCTCACAGCATGTGCCCTGCACGCAGCAGTACATGCCTGCCAGCCTGCTGGCCAGCCAGCAGGGTAGTGTGCGCCCGCTGCTGGCTGGCCCCCAGGCAGTCTGCTGATGACTTTGCCTGGAGTTGCAACAGGATCCTAACCGTCGGCCCATGCTGTGGCAATGTTGCTGTCAGGCTTGCGGAGTCGCACTCGCTCACAAAAGCTCGCGGCCGCTGCGCAATTGCCTGCTTTCACAGCTGGGGTGCCCTCACACTTTGACATGTCACTGCAAGGTGGTCTAGAGCGGCACAGCCGTCTGCACGCTGCAACGCTTTCGTGCTTTCTCTACATCTGCCACAAATCTCTTGGCATCTCTGCGCCACCTTGCGGCCTCTCTACGCCACCTCATGCTGGATAACGATCATGGTACCGTACCTGCTGAGGATCAGCAGAGGCAGGGGTGGGGCTGCATTTGACGTTGGCACCTAAGCTGTGGTGAGGTGCAGCAGAATGGTGCACACGCAAGGTTACTGCTCACAGTTGAGGCGTCGGCAGCTGATGCATTGTGCGGGTTGCGACCCGCAAGTCGCAGGCACTTGACCCAGCGGCGCCGTTGAGGGGCCTTTCGGGGGCCTGTGGGTACCTGATGCCACCGCTGCTACGAATCATCCGTCGACAACCAATGCTATGAGAGTTTGGAAGCACTTCTACGGGACAGCAGCATTGGCAAAACGGGCAGCCCAAAGGGCGAAAAGCTTGAAAGTCGATCTTGTGCAGCATGTGTTTTCGCCCGTGAAGCGCGCAATTATCTCAAACTGCTTTAGTTCGAGATCCACACCCCTTGTCGAAGGACGGCCCCGATCTCCTCGACGTCTTTCCCTCATCTGCACCGATGGCGCTCTCCTCCAAGCAGGCGTGCCCTACTCTGGCCCGCGGTGCCTCTCGTCAGGCTACCGTCGTTTGCCGGGCCCAGCAGACCCCCGTTCAGCAGGCCGCGAAGGTGGCTCTTGCCGCGGGCCTTGCCGCTGCTGCGTCCCTGAGCTCCGTGGAGGCTGCCAGGGCTGACATCGCGGGCCTGACACCGTGCAGGTATGGCGCTGCGGGCTCAGGGGTTCAGCCGCGCGCTTGCCGCGCTGCGGTTCCGGGGCATATCGCAGCGGATCCGATCGCCACGGCGGCGGATCCATACCATCGTTGGTCTGATCCTGGGGCTGCATGCCCCAGCCCTGACTGTAAAGGTTGCGCTTCCTTTGAGGGACGGGTGCCCGGGCAACTAGCGGCAGCCGCCAGAAACGGGGCACCCACCCGTGGATCCTCGCCGCCTGCATCGTGCGCCTGTTTACCGCGCAGCGAGTCGGCCGCCTACGCCAAGCGCCTCAAGAACGAGGTCAAGGGCCTGAACAAGCGCCTCAAGAACTACGAGGCCGACAGCGCCCCCGCCCTGGCGATCAAGGCCACCATCGAGCGCACCGAGAAGCGCTTCGCCAACTATGCCAAGTCCGGCCTGCTGTGCGGCAATGACGGCCTGCCCCACCTCATCAGCGACCCCGGGCTGGCGCTGCGCTTCGGCCACGCTGGGGAGGTCTTCGTGAGTGGCCGCGCCCGCACCCACGCCTGCGCTCCGGGGGGACAGTGAGATGTTCGCGCGGGATTCTGGCGGCGGCGGCCGCGAGGGAGCGACCAGTTGGGCCTGATGTTGTGCATCTGAGCGTGACTGGGGCTTCCCCATGTCCAAACGCAGCCCCCTGACTCGCAGCGGCCCTCATGCATCTATCGCACCCGCTCCCTGTGGATCCCGCAGATCCCCACCATCGGCTTCCTGTACGTTGCCGGCTGGATCGGCTACGTGGGCCGCCAGTACCTGATCGGCGCCAAGGCCGAGTCCAAGCCCACCGAGAAGGAGATCATCATCGATGTGCCCGCAGCCCTCAAGCTCTCGGTCGAGGGCTTCGGCTGGCCCCTGGCCGTGGTGAACGAGCTCAAGGCCGGCACCCTCACGGAGACCGCCGACAACATCACCGTCAGCCCCAGGTGAGGTCACGAAGATGCATGAATGTTTGTGTTTGTGAATGTGTGAGTGGGAGAGAGAGTGTGCGCATGCACAAGCATACGTGGGGGGTGACGAAGACGTTGGGTCGCAAGCCGTCATGCCATGGCAGGGGCTGGCAGGGATATCCTGGCGGAGTTTTCCCTGGGTGCCACCGACCCAACGTTGAATCGCTGGGTGCCATTAGCATGTGCCTCCCACTCAGGCGTAGATATGACCCTGCACCAGACCCTGAAACCCCTGCCTTCTATGTGCCCCCCTGCCTGCGTGCAGATAATCACATCCATCCTCCTGCAGCAGTGGTAGCAGCGGCAGAGGGCGGTTGAGAGCGCGGCTGTGCGGTGGCTGCGCAAGCTCCTTCCTCCCCGGGCGCACACACGGCCGGCCTCGTGCAGTCGTCCAGCCAGCGACACCCTCACAACGGTGCCCCCGGACAGCAGCAGCAGCAGCACGCATGCGCGCAGCGGCGGCGCGAGGGCAGCGCGCACAAGCTGCGCCCCGTTTCTTGTTGTGAAGCGGTGTGACGGCGCCCGTTGTGCAGCAGCGGTGCAACGCATCCCTCCTTAATTTGTGCCTCATAGCACAGCTCTTTGCCCTTTTTCACGTTCCCCGGAGCGCCGGCTGCACCAGCAGCCATTTTGATTCCTCCCGCACGTCCCCTTGGCCAGCAGTGATGCGCACCTCGCGCCGGCCGCCAATGGGGTGCGGTTTTTGGGGCCCTCGCGGCCTCGCAGCCCAGCACACCATGCGCAGCGACCCCGTCAGCATGCCGGACCGGTGCTGCTCAAATGGTTTTGCGAGGCCTGACTTGTAACAAGTTTGTCTCTACTGCGGCCCAATAAGCTGGGTAGCATGTGCCCAGGACAAAGCCGCAACAGGCCTGCACCCTGCGTTGTGGGGCCTGAGCTTGCAGAGACCGATGAGTGGCCGGCTCATGTCAGCTGGTGGCCCATAACCTGAACCCCCCAAACCCAGCCATGGTGCACACGGTACGCTGAGCTGGCCTCGGTACAGTATTGCGCAACACATGCTTGTCCACAGACCGGTGGGCATCAGCGGACTGCGAGGCGGGCCTGGATTTGAACTTGAGTGGCCATGCAGCCTGACATCACTGCCTGCTGTGCCCATGCCAACCCCACCGGTGTACACAGGTCGGGACTGTTGAGGCGGCATCCGCGCTCAGACGCCTCAAAAGAAGGAGTTGGGGGTCCCGTTGTGCCCATGGCGGCCGCCCACCAATGCACTCGGCATTCCCTGGTGGCACATTGCAGCAGCCCAGCCCTTCGTGCAGCCCGCCGCCGCCGCCAGGGCCGGGCTGCTGCTAAGACAGCAAAGCCCACTCATTGCTCGCCATCTGACCCAGGACTGGCCCCATCCTCGGCAGGTCGCGTGCAGCTTTCTGTGAGGTGCATCGTGACAGGCGCCAAAACCTCAGCCACGCGGGCAAGCAGCTGTATCTGCTGCTGGCTGATGGGGCCCTTTGCAATGTTCACCGCCGTACGGATCTCATAATAGCCCTTGATGTCTTTGTGCGCGGACAGCTGCTAGTGCAGGTCCGCAATCCTGCAAACACATCAAGGGCTGTTATGACAGCAGCTGTCCACACACAAAAGCATCAAGGGCTATTATGAGAGCCGCACGGCGGTGGACATTGCGGACCTGCACCAGCAGCTGTCCACGAACACAGAGACACTGCAGCAGCAGTACATGTGTCATCTAGAGCGCTGCGTCAACAAGTATCCCAACCGGTTGATGTCATTCAGCTGATGACCAATTCTGACATGAATCGCTTTTATAGGCGAGTCTGTGGGAGCAGCATGATAGAGCACACATGGACACTCTATCCACGCACCGCAAGTCACAACAGCCACCTTGATCATGAAACTCAACTTTTGGCAAAAGAAGGCGCCCCTGGTCCTACAATGCTGTTGCAAGCGCTCGGTCAGTATTGTTTTCAGCGTCCTGTTGCGTAGTCACATACGGTACCGCATACACTTTACACAGAGCAAAGAAAGGCCACGACAGACCCAGTGTGTGATCTGACAGGCCTGAACGGGCCATATATCGCCCAGGTCCTATCTCATTGCACTTCATACATTGATACCTACAATATGCTTTCGCAAGCCGCCACAGGCTTTGCTCTGAGTGGGGCCCAGCATAGAGTTCGCGGGCTGCTCGGCACCAGGCTGCCGTGCCCGAACTTGAATGGCTGCCGTAGGCTTATATCTGTCGCTCATGCGGGACGCGGGCGCCCCAGGAAGACCACATCAGGTGAGCGTGACACCTGCCGCCAGCGATGGCGGCAGCAGCATCGCGCCCGTTCAAGCCAGCTCCACTGGGGTGTGCAGCATTCGAATGTCAACTCGGCGGCCCTGGCTGCGACTCCATGAACTATGTACTGCGGCTGCTATGCACGATGCCTGCGTCCGCTGCGCTTTTGACTGCACGTGCCATGGCAGCAAGCGACGCAACAACAGGGGGGTGGCGGCGGAACCTCTGCGCCGCAAACAGGGCTTGCTGCTGCCCGCCGCTCTCCGCAACCGTCCCTTTCCCCCCGACCGCCCGCCGCGCCCCGCCGTTCCCGCCCAGACGACGCCGAGCTCCCCACGGGCGACCCCCCAAAGCGTCGCGGCCGCCCCCGAAAGTCCGACGCCCCCGCCGCCGCGGAGGCGATAGAGCGCCTCACAGAAATCGCCGGAGGCCGCGCCCCCGCTAGCGCCGCAGCCGCCGCCGCGG